GGCTGCAGGCAGTCTGGTCTGGTCTGGTCTGGGCCTGCCGACCACGGAATCTTGGATAGGGTCCATTAGCTGAAGTTGGCAACCTACAATTTTGTTACTACTGTAACCGATTGACCATGCATCCATGATCCATTGAATCATTGACAGCTCTTGGGCCAATCAAGTAACCAAATTGGACTACTTGTTGTGATGTTCGACCTCTTGGCTCTTCCTCTGCCATGCCATGTATGGGCATAGCTTCTTCTGGGTCGAAAAGTCCAGACTTGGCCCATATATAAATATATGTATATTATAATAATAACTACCGTACGTCGTCCACACACCATCTACACAGTGGGTGGGTCCCTCACCAACTGGACAATTAGACAATTGGGATCTCCCTCCACGTGGCAAAAATGGGTCAGGGTCGTGCAGGGAAACTCCCTGCCGCTGCCTGGGCCCCGGCCCCGGCCCCAGTTGTGGACGTGTTGATGTAATTAAGAGGAAATAAGTATTCGAATCCAACTGTGAAGATGGTGTGGACCAGACACCAGAGAATATCATCTGCTTGCAACAAGCAACTGATTACGACTTTTTGGTCGGTCATTTTTCATGGAGAGGTACGGATTAAAAAGGGGGTGTGGATTAGATGGATTTGCAGAGAGATCGATGTGGGGGTGGTCGTCTATATATGATTGAAATAATGCAAATTCCTATTACTTATCTTTTTATCTGCAATTCTGCATTGGCACGCACATACAAACACCCACGTTATTATATGAATTTTTTATAATATTAACTACGCAGAGTTGGAGAGGGAGAGGGAGAGGGAGAGAGAGAGAGAGAGAGAAGAATTGAATGAAGGATCTGACTTTGCTTCATCAACTCCATTCTCTCTCTCCTCGGGGGGTACTGTTACTGTAAAAGCAGGTGTGGCGGTGTGGCAGTCCGTCCTTCCAAGTTCCAACTGAACACTTGTTATTTATTACGCTTCACCATCCAATATGCCCTCCCCAGTCCCGCTCACCCAACATATAATATTCATCTAATTTCCTTCCAATGTTTTAAAAATACGACCCCAAATAGAAAATCAATTTAGCCTCCAACAGCGGTTCGACCTCCAATCTGAATCTGAATGAATGGTCCTCAAAAAACTCGTAAACCATCAAACCCATCCAATACCCCAGTCTGTCTAGGAGACCCAAGCCAAGATCTAGAGTGTTGAATTAATTAGCCCCGGTCCGTTCGATCACAGACCAGAGAGGGTGATGTGGGCAGCAAGTGGCACTACCCCATGTGATGTGTGTAGTGTAATGTATTCTGACACAAACGTTTGCTGGGTTGTAGTTGCAGCTCCAATCTCCAGTGTCCTCCGCTCCGCCCATGTGACGTGCGTAGAAACACCCACCCACCGCCACCAGGCCCACAACCTAGCCTTATGTAACCCCTATCCCTAATAACATTAATACAAAAATAGGGGAATATATAGGAATAGGATGACGATTGTTAGGATGTCCCCGTGTGCATTATTAAATAAGGTCGACAGATTTCTGTGCAATGAGAGAGAGATTCGGATACTTATCTCCTGGTTAAATCACTCACTCACTACGAAGGCTGAAGCAACGCTAACTTAAGCCTACGCTGAACAGTCTCAAGACCCTCCTTAATTCACGGATACTTGGTCCCATAAACACTCCAGGTAGAGGCGTAGCGCAAATCCTCTCTCTTTTTATTACGCTTGGCGGGTTTATGTTATTAAGAAACATCACCGTTATTTTCACCTATAATATTTTTTTCTTTTTAAATTGATGTTATCATTACGCAAATTTCTAAAAATTTAACGTACTCTTTGAAGAGGGATGGTCGACCTCCTTGGATGCCTGACCTTGGCACTCTTAGACCTTGCGGGGCAGTCCTGGTTAATGGCTAGCATGGCTACCAAGGTTCCTCATGGGCACACATATGCTCATGGAGATTGTGCATGGGCCAGCATTGTGCCACCGATACTCAACGGAGGTTTGGCATGTGGGCCTGGCCTAAGCATGACCCTTCACCACGCCAACCCCATGTCCAAGCTGAATGAGCTACCTCGTTGCCCATAGCGCAAAGGTGTGTTCTGGTCCAATGGTTGCCTATCATCATTGGCATATCAGGTGCCTACATCATCGGCATACAGGGGTCCCTCTCATTGGTGCCCAGTCACCCCTCATCATGGTCGTCCCCCTTTAGCACGTAAGAGGCACCTCCCATGAACCGGCCAAAGCCAGTAGAGAGCCCTGGCCATGCGAACTAAGGTCATGATCTAGTGCTACTAAACTTGGTGGAACCATCTCATCGGGCAACTCCTAGCCCTAAGCACACATAAGGCTTGTCCTGGCCTGCCTTGGCCTAGATGCCGCACGAGTTTCTTCCACTGCAAATCTATCCCCGTGACACTCTGTCCTCCTCTATCTTTAACCCCTATTACAATTTACAACTACAATCTCTCTCTTTCTCTCTCTCTCTGTTAACTTACACACCCTGTGCTGAGACCGGATATGCTCCTCACATAATGCATCTCATGCCGACCTTACAACATGTCCTGGCCGTTCATCAGGAATATTTCCTGTACTTGTATTTATTATTTATGGGGAGATGTTCTCTATACATGGTTGGGTATAGCTGTGAGGTCGGTGTAAGATGCACTCTATGAAGAGCATATCCCAATTCCCTGTGCTGTACATTAAGAAAAATCCACTTTTAACCACTAATTTTTGGATAGAAAAGAATAGAAGGGATTCATGGAATTTCGGCCAATACCAACAAATGGAATGGTGTCATTGCTGTTAAGGTTCAAAATTTCGATATGATACATCCTATATCACATCTTTTGGGTCCCAATATGCCTATTTACAGGTGTTTCAATACCTCACTAAAAACTAAAAAAATATGTTTCCACATGTATCTAAGTAAGCTTATACCGATATATAGAAACATATCGATACTTTGAACCATGATTTATTGTGCATCTACGTGTAATAATGCACAATTTCAATTTTGTGATTTTATAACTGATAATTTCGTGTTCCCTCATCTTTAGTCATGCCATCTTTTTGCTAGGGGTGGATTCGAGCCGAATACTTGGCTATTCAAGCTTTAGCTCATAGCAAGAGTACTAGCTCGAGCTCGAGCTCGTAAGTTCATGCTTGGCTCGGCTCAAGAGTTCGTAAATTCAAGTTCGACTACAAGTCAAGATTTTTTTAAAAAAATAAAAAGTATACATATAAAAATAATATTTTTATTTTACATACAGAAAATTAAGAATTATAAAAATTATTTATTATTATGCATACAAAAAATAAGAATTATAAAAATTATTTACTATTATACATAAAAAATAAAAATATTATTATATATAATAAAAATTATTTATTTATTATATTAATCTCATGAAACGAACTTTACTGAGCTCGAACTCAGCTTGATTAGCCAATGAACCTATGTATTAGGTTCAAGATCAATTTAAACTGAGCCGAGTTAAACTCAATGATAAACTCGATTCTAACCACCCCTACTCTTTGTCAGTCCGGATCTACTGCCCACACAAACTCTACTCACGTCTACCTACATAATATTACAACCACGCATAAAAAACATTTCATCCTCCTACATAGTAGTATGCAGGATTCAGGGGGTAATACTATGTGAGTAGACGTGGCAGAGTTCTCGTGGGCAGGTCATCCGGAATCACTCTTTGCTACATCCCTCCTTGGAGTCTCAATAAATGCTTTGCCGTTCATAATTTCGTATCTGCGTATTTTAGTATGTTACGTGTTCTATATGATAACTTGCGCGTTTACAACTCCCCACCGCTCCAACTTGTCTCAACCAAACGACGCTCAAGTGGAATCCAACATCCAACGGTTAGCTTCTCGGCCTATAAAAATCTGACGGTTCACTCCATTAAAATCTGTCAGGAATTATTTATGTACGGAATACTACCCCATCATTTATTACCCTTCCCATCCAATTTGCTGTCTCTCTCTCTCTGTTAATAGTCTGTTTGCATTTATTTATTTAATCAAGTTAGTAATTAATATATATTTGATCACCAAAAATCATGATTTAGTTATGCACAATCTGTTTGCTTATACTTTATACTACTTGGAAAACCGCCAAGAGTTGAACTTTTGTTTTCGAGCTTTGGACTGTGGGAACTCGAAAAGAAAAATAAACCAAAGAAGTGTTTCAGATTTTGTGCTTTTGGGCTTTAAATGCACAAATCCTAAAGTTTCTCCAAACAGATCGTCGATATCCGTTGCTTGTAGAGTTGTAGTTGTAGGGCAAAACAAATGAAGCCCAAAAAATAAAAATAAAAATAAAAAATGATAACCCAGTTAAGAGAGAGTGTAATGATACAATAATGGCTGCTGCTGTGGTCTATTTGACATGTAGTAGTAGTTGTAGGCCTTTATATGCGCTGGGACCTGGGAATCTGGACTCGGAGAGGAGAGAGAGAGAGAGAGAGATAGACTGATTGAATTAATAACTAAAACAAAGTTGTGAAGATATCGTTTTGTTTTGTCTCTGTAACATTTGTGAATTCCATTACTATCAGCCAGCCAGCTTAAGTCATATTATAACATGGATGAACATATGACCCCAT